GGGCAAGAAATGGTTAAAGTCGTCCAGGGAGCGTTCTCTTTGTGTGTGTGTACAGGAGTTACTGGAACAGCCCCAGTCTGCAATGCATCATTTATTCTACTGAGGACAGTAGGGCACCAAACATCAAAGCGAGATTTAAATAAACTGATGGGAATAGAATCAGTCAAGCAAGTGGTGTGTTTCACACTTGATGCCGTATGATGAATCGAGCTGTGAGTGAAGAACCAGAAGAACCAGAAGGATTACATAGTGAAGCAGGTGTCAGTGTAACAGGTGAAGAAAGGATTTACACAACTGCTGAGGAGCACGGGTGATATCAGCAGTAACTTGAGGCAATCGGTTTATAGTTAAAAACTAATGTCTGTGATTTCCTTGATTGTTTTCAATAATCTGGGAAAAATAAGCTGATCTTTCAGACTCAATTAATGCCTGAAGCCAGTGCTAGTTACCCAGAAGACCCTCCCAGGCTTGATGATGGACATCCGTGCCTGTCGAGTGTTTGATGGGACTCAGATTCAGGAGCAGAGCGGGCGAATGAAGCATTACGTGACTTTAAAGAAGCAAGTGCATCACTAAACTGTGATATATTATCGACCAAACAAAGTTAAAGGATACTGATCACTTAAAGTGGAAACGACTGAAGTGGAAAAATCTGTGTGATAGATGTGTGTCGACAGATGAAAACTGAGATACGAACGAGCCGTTTGCAGTCACAAGATCGGCCGGTGCTGTGAGCCGTGAGCCGGGCCGGTGCTGTGAGCCGTGTGCTGTGAGCCGGGCCTGAGCCGGGCCTGTGCAGTGAGCCGGGCCGGTGCCGTGAGCCGGGCCTGAGCCGGGCCTGTGCAGTGAGCCGGGCCGGTGCTGTGAGCCGTGTGCTGTGAGCCGGGCCTGAGCCGGGCCTGTGCAGTGAGCCGTGAGCCGGGCCGGTGCTGTGAGCCGTGAGCCGGGCCGGTGCTGTGAGCCGTGAGCCGGGCCGGTGCTGTGAGCCGTGAGCCGGGCCGGTGCTGTGAGCCGTGAGCCGGGCCGGTGCTGTGAGCCGTGAGCCGGGCCGGTGCTGTGAGCCGTGTGCCTGAGCCGGGCCTGTGCCGGGCCTGTGCCGTGAGCCGTGTGCTGTGAGCCGTGTGCTGTGAGCCGGGCCTGTGCCGGGCCTGTGCCGTGAGCCGTGTGCTGTGAGCCGTGTGCTGTGAGCCGGGCCTGAGCCGGGCCTGTGCCGGGCCGGTGCTGTGAGCCGTGTGCTGTGAGCCGGGCCTGAGCCGGGCCTGTGCCGTGAGCCGTGTGCTGTGAGCCGGGCCGGTGCTGTGAGCCGGGGAAGCCCTGTAAAACAGTCAAGCAGCCTCAGACATTCCTTGGCTTTCACTTCGGTCAACATGTATGAAACATTTTGTAACATTTTTTCATCATTATAGATTATTCCAAAGGCTTTGGCGGGAAGTATGGTGTGCAGAAGGACCGAATGGACAAGGTACATTTATCAGATCATTATAATGAACACTGAGATTAAATTTCTGTTTCTTTTTTAACATGACATTCAGAACCTGAAATACGGTTGTGAAAACTGTGTGTTTGCGTTCACTTCCTTTTTGAAAGTGCAGTTGTTGTCCTCGAGTGTTTCTCATCTTGATGATGTGTGTTTGGCTGTTGTTGTCAGTGTTTCTCATGATGTGTGTTTGGCTGTTGTGTGTTCAGAGCGCAGGCACGTTTGAGGAGGTGGAGAAGCCGAGCACGGCGTATCAGAAGACCCGTCCCGTCGAAGCAGGTCAGAATAACTTCAGTGCTGCGCTCCTGCTTATAGCGGGGGGCAAGAACCCAGAAACCGTGGAGGGAAGCTCTTTTGAGTACCAACATGTTTGGGGACAGGTTTACCTACTGGAGTCGGATTTCTCTCCATCTCTGGTAATATAGCGATCATGCTTAGGCCAGCACGGTATAGCGCTTTAGCGTCGGGATGCAGGATCTGGGGTGTCATGCATGCATAGGGATCTTAGTTGATCGGTTTCGCTTCGGAACGCATGCGATTCGCGGATTAATTGCCAAGTTTACCCATCATGCAGTGAAAGTTTATTACATTTGCATGTGTTTTTAAGTCCTGTCAGTTTAAACATCAAGTGCAAGAACAAGACTGGAGCTCGCGCACACAGATCACGCATCACGCTGAGTTCTCTTGAGCTTGAACAGACACGCAAAATTAAGTCAAACTGCATGTCTTGGCAAGCATCCTCATAAACACAGTCGGTTAACACTTGAGAAAGAAGGCCGGATGCGCATCATTGGATCTGTGCGAATGCGTAAGATCCCTCATTTGTCTTGATGACAGCAGCCTAATATACCCACAGCTGCTAATCAAACAACAATAGAGAAAGAGAAAATCACTTTTATAGCCTTAACACAGATAAATTACATTCATTATATTTAATTTATACAGTGAAGACTATAGTCTTATTTAACCAATTACTGAATACAGTTAGACTTGCCTGAAAACATAAAGCACTCTTATTTCATTGGTGATGAGGACCGCTTGCAGGATAAGTGTGCAGCTCCTATGAGAACCTGACCATGTGCACCCCTGGTTATAACGCTTCATAGCGCTCGAGTGAAGCCTGTGCTCTTGTTTAGCTGGGAACAGCGCCGGCAGCATCAAGGCTCGCTTCGAGAACATCGCCAAGCAGAAGGAGGAGGAGGACCAGCAGAGAGCAGAAGAAGAGCGCGCTCGACGACAGGCCAAGGAGAAGCAGGAGCAGGACGAGGCGCGCAGCAAACTGAAGGTACACACACACACACACACACACACACACACATTTGATTATTTTATTTGGAATGACCAATACTGATTAAAACAACACAGCATCCAAATATTCACAAAGAGCCTGTTATGTTTCACCTGACAATACACACATCGACAATAGTCACAACCACACGAATATATAAATAACACACACACACACACACACACACACACACACACACACACACACACACACACACACACACACACACAGTGTCTGGTAGGACTGACACAGATTTCAGGATTCAGTTGAGGTATGAGTCAGGATTTTCGAATATTCGATTAGTTGATATAATTATAGAGAAACGAATAGGTTGTGTGATTAGGCCTATTGTCTAAAAAATAATCCCCATGTTTTCGGTGCTGATCTGATGCGGTTGTGATGCGATCATGTAACCAGAGGGTGGCGCTGTCAAATACACACCTAAACGCTATCAATAAATTCTGTTGTTCATCATGTTTATTTGCTGCTGTAACTAGTAGTAGAGAGGCAGACACACACACACACACACATTATAAAATGGACAGAATTTGAATGATTAGATTTAAAGTGTCTATGTCAGGTTACATTTTTTTTTTAATTATCATTAAAATTATTACTGTAATTACCCTACAGTAAGCTTTATAGCCATTTCTGTCAAGATCATATTTTTAAAACACAGCTGAGCTGTGACGTCAGAAGAGGGAGACGTGCCACAAACATTCTATTCAAGTATGGAGAGTTTTGAGTCTGAGCAGATCCAAAATCCCCCTCAAAATCCCCCCACAGCCATACACTTATGAGCCTCGCAGGCGTGAGACAGATGAGGAGGCAAACAGAAATTTAAATAATTCCTATTGAAGAAACATAAAATATCTGGTGAAGATAACCGGTGGAGAGTTGGGCAGGTGTATATCATAACTTAGAGGTGGAACGGTACATGTATTCGTATTGAACCGAAACGGTACGGGCGTCACGGTTCAGTGCATGAATACACGAGTATAAAAATAAATAAAACTCGCGTGCAAATTAATTAATGCGGAACTACTGTTAGATACGTGTGCTGTTGGTGTTGGTGTGAGAGACGAGAGAGAGAGAGAGAGAGAGAGAGAGAGATACGGGCGCGATCGAACAGTAGAAACATAAAAACTGGAAGAAATGTGCGCTGCAAATGACCGGAGTCTTGGATACCGAAGCAGCACTGAAGTCAGCGCGTTTGGTCCGAACAAAGTTGACCCAGGCACGGAACACAGACCTGCTTTTTGGGAAAAAGTGGACTCTGTGACCGGTTTTAACGGTGTTTTAGCACCCAGCACAAATGCAGTAATTCACCATTGTGAAAATACGCCTGCGTATACCTAACTAACTACCTAACTTAAATAGCTAACTAAATAAATAGAGCGAGAGCAGCACGATTAGTGATTAGGACATTTATCACTCGTACTATTATCAACACAGCTCACAAACTCACTTTGTCCGCGCCCTGGGAGACGTCTCCCTCTTATGACGTCAAGCGATCCGTTTGGGCGGAGGAGCAGTTTTAAGTGAGTACTGAAAATAACGAACTTTTTCATCTTATATTCTGCCTTTAGGTATCGAAAATCATACAAAACAATACAACAACTTGTCAAACGTGTATTTCCCCTAACTATTTTGTGTTAATCATAATTACAAATTTAACCTGACATATGCACTTTAAAGGAGCGTTACACCATTAAAGCAGGGGAGTCCAGGCTCAACTAATAGAGTCCTAAAATAAAGTGCATTTGTTCTCTGAACGCCGTCACACACCATCAGACGAAGAGCTCGACGGGAGAAGAACACATCCACACACTCCTGTTGATCATCATGTTAGATCTGAATGTGTTCGTGTAGGAATGATTTGTACCTGTACAGTACTTTAGTTTTTAGATGCCGGAACTGCTCTCACTCAATGTAATGCATTAATGCAGAAAGTTGGTTATAAATGATTTTTAACAGGTTTTTTCTAAAATAAATTTTTTCTAGTGAACATCAATGATGCACACTTACTAGAGCGTCTCCCAGTGTTTAACGCTGTGTGCACTAGCAAGGACACGTGTGTTTAGTGTACATGTGTTCACTGCGCCCTCTTGTGGAGAGCTGGTGTAAAACACTGATTCTCCAGCGCGAGTGTGTCGTGAGCTGAGGTGTGTGTGTGTGTGTGTTAGGCGGAGCCCGTCAGCGAGTCGGTGGCGCACGTGTACGAGCTGGAGCCGGTCTCAGCAGAACCCACATGTGAAGAACCGGTTCAGGAGGACCTGTACCTGAGCCCTGAGCCCGACGACCAGATCCAGACCTCAGGTGCGCTCAGCTACACTCACTCTACACTAAACCTAAACACATGAGCACTCGCATCTTACTTCTGTCATCCATCCATGTCTTTATGTACATCACATTATGAGTAACATTGCTGCACTTTTGTACTTCAAACAATCATTTTTTGTTCTATTTATTTATTTTTTTCTGGCTGTTTGTTTATAGTGGCAATGGCCTGTAAAGATGTGTCATCTCAGACCCACCAGCCTGAGAATAAGCCGAAGCACTGTTCATATAATCAGCAGAATCATGTTCATGTCAGCCAGTGCTCTCCTGCAGCTGTAGGAGCGGAGGCTGTTTCATGCTTCAGTGTGTAGCTTTGACTGTAGATGTGTTTAAGTGACGTGTGTGTGTGTGTGTGTGTGTGTGGTGCAGGTGCTCAGCCGGACGAGTACGGAGAGGATCTCGGTGTGACTGCCGTCGCTCTGTACGACTATCAGGCCGGTGAGAGAACGCCTTGAGTTCACAAACTCTTAAGATCAATGTATTGCATTGTCATGTTCGGGTCATTTTAACACGGCTCTCTTTCTTGAAATGCTGATTCATCACGTTTCATAACCTCTGCACTGTATGTGAGTGGCGTAACGCCAGCAACACTTCTGCTACACCAGCGGATCGGCTCAGTCCCTTTACAGCGGGCGGCGTATAAGAAATGACATCACAAGACATACACTTTCAGTCTTTCTACTGCACAATTTTACGTTTACTTCAGTGTTGCATATGGAAGCTTGTTTCTGTTAATAGCAGCGAATAAAAAAATGTAGCTAAAAAGTCGCAGTTACCCTTTATTTGTTTTCTTCACAATTACGAAAAGTCTGAATTGTGAGGAAAAAAGTTTTTCCTCCATGAAATAAAAAATAAAGAGACTTTTTCTCTCAACCTTTTTTCCCTCACAATTGAGTTTTTATATCTCACAATTCTGACTCGCATTCCCGAGTTTATAACTTACAGTTCTGAGAAAAAGTTGCAATATCCATTTTTTTTTTCATGGTGGAAACGAGCTTCAATAATAACTTTAAATTTCACAAATAATTGCAATTTTCATTTTTTTTAAATAGTTTTTTACTTCAATATCAGTTTTGTTGATGTTTTGTTACGTTTAATTGCACAGCTGCCTCTTAAGAGCAGGAAGTGAAGTAACGCGCCTCTGTTCCTCCCCAGCGGGTGATGACGAGATCTCCTTTGACCCGGATGACATCATAACCAACATCGAGATGATCGACGAGGGCTGGTGGAGGGGTGTGTGTCGGGGCTCGTACGGACTCTTCCCAGCCAATTACGTTGAAGTTCGACAATAGACTCACTGGTTCCCGGCGGGGCGTCGGCCCTCGACTCCATGCTTCCTTTATCAGCCCTGCTTTCTCTTCTCTCCTTTCTCTCGCGCCAGCGTTCGCCTCAGCGCTCGCGTCCCGTTCATGTCAGTAGGCCTGAGTAGATGCCTCTGCCAATAGAGATTTATGACACTTCTAAGAGCGTATACACACACACACACACACACACACACACGTACACGTTGAAATAAGAGAGTAGACCAAAGATCAGAGATCTTCTGGTGTCTTTGAGAATAAATCATGCACATGTGCGGCTTCTTTGCGACTCTTAAAGCTGCGTCCGTACGAACACTTTGTTCATTTTAGTGTCTTTTTTTGCAGTGTTGAAACGGGGAACAAATTAATTATGTTTGAAAATATGAATGAAGGCCAAAACGTGATGCCATAATAATCACTGCTGGAATTCGCAGTGTTTGAAACGGTTTATAAGAATCACTTTAATGGTATTTGAAGGGTTGTGTATTAAATGTCTTGTGTGTGTCTGATTGCGTCGTGTCGTGCTTCTGGTTCGTCTGTGAGGTGTTCGGCCACATCTGGACTCGATCTTTGTTTCTGTGAGTGCATGGCGTTTCTGTTTCTGACAGCCCAGCTATAGCAAATGATCTGGTGACAAACGACAATCGGTGCAGTCGAGTTAATACTGGATAATAGCAACCGCTAATGACATAATCTGGTGTGCATTTTTAGCTAAGTATCCTTTTCAAATAAAGTCTGTGCTTATCTATACTGGCTCTCTTTACAAGGCTGTTTTATAAGAAACCTCATTTAAGAATAAAACAATAAATAAAACTAGTGTTTTTTGTATTTTTCACAATCCATTATGCGGCCACATGTGTTGAACTTTATTTCTCTGTTAGTAATTGTAATTAAGTGCAAATGTTTGTTAGACACATTGACGCACGTGACCAGAGCCATATTTATTTATTTCAGATTTAGTCGCCATACAAGGTGTAAATGCACTCCTCCCACAATACGTTTTCTTGGTCATTGCAATGAGTTTCTACTTTAGAAGGTCTTTAACAACATTAACAGTGTGAACACAAGCCTTCACATGTAAGCAAAGTAAAGCAACATAGGTTGAAGTCAAAGGGAAAACTCATAGTTTAACAACAGGACACTGACAATGCCATAGATATAAGGTGAATATTGTGCTTGTTTATGATGTGGCAGGTACATTATCTAAATATATACAGTATGCATTAATCATAGTATAAATATATTGCGTTTTGGATTTGCTATATTAAGAATCTAACAAATATACCCATTTTATTCAAACATTTGACTTTTTTGGCAAACCACAGTTCAGTGGGAACAACACCATTGAAACCGCATTATAAAAGGCAATATAATTATATAAATCCAAAATACACTTACTCTATTATATGCTATCTAAAGAGGATCTATTTTATAAAAATGACTTGTTCACAGTAGCAGCAGTGTAGTGGCAAACCGTTGTTCAAGAAAGGCTTGCGATTTAATATTTCTGGCCCACATTTTTAAAAATATTGTGGTCTATATTCAGTCATACTCGGATCTCAGCAGCAGATATTGCTCCTCTCCGCAGAGATATCCCACTATCAGTACAAGATAAAAAGAAAAATAATTCTCACAATCAAGGTGTACATGCATTCTGCATGCTGGCTAGCAGTTTATATATTAAGAAACATGATTCCAAGTTTTATAACGGCTTAAAACATCCTCTATAAACTCGCTAATGGAATCTCTAAAACTGCAGCTCATATTAAAGTAGGGGAATCTCCACTCCGGCATCTACTTTCTAAATGTGTTGTTCATCCATGCATACGCTTAATTTTTTGACACTGTAATTTAATCAAAATGCCACAACTGGATCTTTCAGTGAAACAACACACATATACAAAAACTCAATCATTTGGTGCACGTAAACCCCATGATCAACCGCAAGCTTGCCTTTAAATCTCCTCCATCCCACTGATAACCAGTGCATCGACCCAAGCCACAGTACGAAATAAAACAAAACCCTGTAGCTACTTTAATGTGCAGCAGACGCATTATTATAGATGTTTGTGCACAATAATTAGGCCTGATATCAGATCTGCTCCACAACTCTCATTTAGAAACGCTCTTCCTCTCAAGCCTTAGTCGTCCTATGAACATAGTTCAGAATCAACCAAAATTACCTAGAATAAATAGGTGAGCCAAAAGAATGCTGAAAAAGGTGTTTGTTCGGGAACGCTTGCGTGTATTTTGTAGCATTCATTTTTGCCATCAGGATCAAACAACATGGACGAGGCTGTACGTGACGTCTTGTCCTCATGCAATCCCATTGAAAACAAGAAGCATCATGAACAAAGGTCCTGAAATGTGTGGATGTGCCCAACATTTATTTAGGGTTCATATTCAAGCCTGAGTGAATCCAACGCTTTCAGCTAGCCTCATTTTATAAGGTCGAAACAACTGTGTCCACGTTTTCTGCAACAACATACGGAACGCTTGCAGACAACATCTGAAATGAAATATTCCTGTATCAAAGGTAAAAAAGGACCTCCCAGCTCTGCTGGTTACAGTTGCTCCTGATATTGAAATGAAGCTTCGGATCATAAGAACGAGTCCACATAGACTTGTTCCTGAGTGCAGTTTTTGTTCATTGGTTCTTATAGTTGCTCTGACCACAACATCCTCCCAACACTTCCAACAGGAGATGCAGCACAGACTGATAAACATCGGAGGAGACGAGGGATTGATCGAGTCGATATCCACGCCCAGCATCGCACCTTTATCTGTCCATTAGCAGTTTGAGACCCCTCTCAATGTTCATCCGGTGCCCAACACGGGTGACACCCAAGTCTACAAGGTCTTCTTTTTGGAGGTTAGGAAGGTGGGTGCCCTCAATTTCATTGTCCAAGAAGGTCTTCTTGTGTTCTGCCAAGTTCAGGCTTTCCAGCCAGTCGGCTACATCATGCTTGGTCCAGACTAGGACGGGTTTGTCAGCAAAAGGCTTGTCGGCAGCCGCCTGGAGCAGCGTGAGTGGGGACAGCGATTGACTGCTGACTGAGCTGAGGCTGTGGCATTGCTCTGCGTTCACTACGGGTGGAGACGGCAGGCTGAACGCATCCCTTAATGTGGGAGAGCCGGCAGAGACTGGCAGAGAAGAGCTGCGACCCGATTCAGGAGGACCGGCAGCCTGAGGAGGCAAGTGTGTAGTTGAGGAAGAAGCCACTGTGTTGCTGTGTTTGGCACCTGAGGCTTGGGTCATCCACTCTCTGAAAAAACACACACACACACATACAGAAAGAAGTGCGTTAAGGAAAAGAACATTTGTGTTGACAACAACAACACACTATTCTGTCAATAAATGTGGCTCAAAGGAGCCCAGACAGCAACATGGTGTCGACCCAGATCCGGCCCACATCCGGTATGTGTGGAATCCATGTGTACCGGATGTGTGACGGATCTGGGTCGACACTGACACACTCAGTTAAAGGAGTAGGTCACTTCAGATATTTTTACATTTCCTGATAATTTTCTCTCCCCCACGTCATTCAAGATGTCCATGTCTTACTTTCCTCAGTGGAAAAAAAACAAGGATTTTGAGGAAAACGTTTCAGCATTTTTCTCCATCAGTGTTAATTTTGTCAGCAAATTTTGATTTAGTTTTAGTCTTAGTCTTTTGACTAAAATGCCATTTAGTTTTAGTCATATTTTAGTCATATGAATTGTTTTAGTTTTAGTCTAGTTTTAGTCGACGAAATACAATAACATTTTAGTCGACTAAATCTACAGTAGATTTAGTCGACTAAAATATAATGGGTTTAGTTCAATTGTAATGCGTTAATTTAGAATTTCTCTAAAATTTCCAAACCCATACTCCCGGAGAAAACATCTAATTAACCTATTAATATGAATGATTTTTAAGTTTGAACATGCAATACAGATACAGATTTAACTACTGTGACTTAAAAAATATCTTAAAATGAAATAAAACCACTTTTCCTAAAGTACAACACAGTCTTCTTTACGATGAATGATATATTCATTCCTTATAACTACTTACACATCATTCTTTATTCTTTCAAGCAGACATATTTATTTGTATGAATTAAATATAATTAATCCTTATTAAAGCTATTAACAAACAGTGAATGCTTTTCTCTTTTTCTTTTGTTACTTGATCAAAATTAAGGACACGGACCGCATTAGGTTTATTGCCACTGTCACTTTAAGACGTCGGATCATGTCCAATGACATGCGGATACAATTGCACTGATGCACATCCGACACACTCACAGTTTAAGACATAACCAGCATAGTTTACATGAATACTCTCCAAAAAGGACATTTAGACATACTGTTGTGTATTTGTCCATTCAGACACGAAAGCGAGCTCAATTCAGTAGCCTACTCGCGCGCTGTAGGTGTATTGTGCATGACTGCACGCTTCGGGTTAGGTGTGTGCGCACAGAAAACCGCACCGAATAGAGCTCTTTTTTGCATCGTCACTCTTATTCAGAGATCTATATGTCTGCTCTACTCATTCTCCCAGACGTTCACATTTTTTAACGTTTTATGACCGCGGGGTAGATCACGTTACAGTAGCCTACAAATGTGCGCATCTACCACACACGCAGGACATCAGTTCTGACGGATCGCTTCCCAAATCGTCACTATCTAACATTTTCGTCTAGTTTTTATTCGTTGACGAAAATGTCAATAGATTTTCGTCATAGTCTTTGTCATTCAAAACTAGGTTTTATTTAGTTATCGTCTCGTTTTCGTCTGTGAAAAAATGTCGTTGACGAATAATTTTCGTCGTTATTTTCGTCAACGAAATTAACACTGTTCTCCATATAGTGACTTCAATGGGGTCCAACGGGTTGGTCCCACGTGTGACCTTTCAACGTGATTATGTAATCGTTTCTTTTCGACTGAAGAAAGAAAGACGTGAACATCTTGGATGACGTGGGCGTGATAAAATTATCAGGAAGTTTTTGCTCTGAAGTGAACTAATGCTTTAAGTCCAATGTAGAGACACCTTTAGTTACAAATACAAGGACATTTGTCTAGGCAGGAATTCCAGTCTAAGCATGTGCTTCCAAGATCTTCTGAAACGGGTGTAGGGAACCTGCTTTGCTTCAACTCTTTTATCTTGTTAATCCGTCACAAATTTCATGAGATTAACATATGTAAAGCTTGTAACCATGCCCCTGTATTAAAAGATTATTTCACAGCTGTAACAACATTTGGATAACATTTAATCTTTTTTTTATTTGTGTTGTCCTTGATCTACCCCAGGTGTGTCTAATCTACAATCTTTACACAGCTTGTACATACCTATAGGCCAGACACAGTCCTACATTTGAATATTAGGTTACACTTTATTTCGATAGTCCACTTTAGACATTCTACTAACTATTAGTAACTTTTCAACTACATGTAAACTAACTCTCATTAGAGTATTAGTAGACTACATTAGACTGTCAGTAGACTGTTAGTTTATGGTTTGGGTTAGGAGAATAAGTTGACCTGTAGTTGTAAAGTTACTTATAGTCAGTTGAATATCTGTTGGGGGACCAACAAAATAAAGTGTTAGCAGATATTAAGCAGACAGTCTACTAATACTCTAATGAGAGTTAGTTGACATGTAGCTGCAAAGTTACTTATAGTTATTAGAATGTCTAAAGTGGACTATCGAAATAAAGTGTTACAGAATTTTATTTTGTGCAGGAATTTTCCTTTTAAAATAAATCTCACATGAGACAGGCTAAGCTCTTATTGTGCTCCTCACCTTGATCCGATGCTTCTGGATCCTGCAGGTGGGTCGAGAGGTCCCCGTTTCGGAAATCTGTCCTTGTTGATCTGTTGAAGTTTAGAACTGAGTTCACTGATCACATTGACTTTAGGATCTGCATTGGGTAAGAGGGGGTTCGGGAGCTCATGGGCGTCTCCCCCCAGTTTAGAGCCCCGCTGATCAAGCGCTTTGTGCGGCTCAGATTGGGCTACACCATCCCAGGGTGGAGGAGGTGGTGGTGGCCGTCCAAACGACTCTATGCTCTCCTCCATCAAAGAGTTCCTGTAAAGTGCATTGCTTTTGTTGATTATGGGCTTCATTTTTGGCTTCGGTGGAACCGGCGGTCGCTCCACCAGAGTCTGCCCGTCTACATAGGCTATGTATGAGTCCTCAAGTCCCTCAAATGAAAGAGTATAGACACTGGACATTGTGGAAATTGTGCTGTTTGCCTCAAAGTGAGGATCCCCACTGTTTCGACCAAAAACTTCCTCAATGCCTGAGTCTGTGACAGGCTCGAAACTCTCTGGAGGTGGTGGAGGGTAGGTGTGGGGATTCATGCAATTCACAAGCCCTGGAAGACACTTGGACTCCACACTGTTCATTGTAGAAGCATGAGAATGATAAACAGGCAAGGGTCCCCTTGTTGCATGACTCTTTTTCTGCTTGAGGATCTCTGCAACCTGGTCCTCAGGAACATCAATGCTGTTGGCAAACTCCAGAGGTGGAGGAAAGGGTTCAGGCAAGTCAAACTCCTCATCAAAATCCACTGAGTTCAGTGGGGGAAGAGGAATGCTACAGGAGAAGTTGGCAGGCTTCTCCACGGATGTGGCAGAGGTCCTTGTATGAGATGGCTGGGAGTTGGGGGCTATAAGTTTGTCATTGCAATCAATGGTTGCACTGCCCATAACCAGGGACTCTTCTTGTTTGAATCCATCAGACTGACTGTTCACTTGTGGCTTGGTCTTATCTAGTGTGTGGACCATGAGGAGCCCCTCTGACTGTTGTTGCGATGTGCTATAGCTGTTCTTCAACTGCTCAGATGGATTACGTTCCTTCGCCGCCTTTGTGGCATGATTGGACTCTCTTGTGTGCCTAAACAAACCTCCACAATCTTTTGGTTGAGCTGTGGCAACAAAGCTGGCTTCAATATTGGACCGTAGCTTGGTGTCAATGAAGAGTGGCTGGTTGAGGTTTGCTTTGCGAGATTCTCCTTTAGGTGGAGGAAGAGGGGGTTGCACTTGCTGCTTCAGAGCTCTATTTCTGGCCTGGTGTTGGAAATCTCCATCATTGAGAGTAATGGGACTGCCTGTGTTGGGGCAGTTCCCGGTGCGTGTTGTGAAGGGCTCAGTTGTTGGTTCGGGGAGGGTAAAGTCTGTCATGTTGCCTCCACTTCTAATTCGCTGGAACCCTAATAAAGGAGCCGGAGGAGCCATACGCTTTTCTAAACTCTTATCAAAAGCAAACATGCCTTCATCTATGGACATAGACTGGCGTAAACGAGGGGTGGGGATAGATGAATCCTCGTCTCCGAGATCCATTGACAGAAAGGCATGGGAGTTCTTGCGTGCTTCAAGACGCTTCTCGCGGTCACGTACGGCCCCGGCAATAGCAGCTGCAAAAGGGTTGCTCACGGTGAACCCTCCGGTGTCCTCCGGTCGTAGCTGGCCGGTTGGCTCAGAAGTGGGAGTCTCAATTTCCATGCTACCCTCTCGGCTACTTTTGCCACTACTGCTAGTTGAAGGCTCTTTAACAATAATGGTTGGTATCTGGATTGAACAGGTTTTATCAGAGCTATCCTCAACATTTGGCTGCTTTATCAGTATACCCTTCCTGCGGGCTGGTTTTGGTGGGACGTACAGAAGTTTGCCAGCTATGTCTGAGTATGGGTTCTCTGGCACATGGGCCTTGTTATGTGTACACATGTTTTGCTGGCTGGCTGGATAAGTCTGATAGTCATATTGTTCAAAGTTCTGCCGATGGTACACGACCTGGTCTCTTTCTATGGTGTGGCATCTGCCTGTTGAGCTCTGTGTGTAAATGGACTGGTTGGGCTCATATCTCATAGGAGTACTGGGGTTGTAAGGTGGGGATGGAGGAGAGATGCCTGGAGGTGGGGGAATTTCCTCAGATGTGTCAGGCATTGAGAGACTTCTGGTGAACTTCAGCAGTGGAGGTATCAGTAACTTCTTTTCTTCTCCTGCGATTCCTGGAGAAAGGATCATGTGACATGTTTAGACTGACGCCTCATTAAGTTGCTTAGCCAACAGACAAGTTGCTTGTTGTTTTTGTTACATACATATCCTAATAAAACCATTCTCAAATCACGCAGTTCATGTCTGAGTCGACTCTTGAGTCATTGGTTTTCAAATAATTTTCATTTAAAAATGAAAAATTCATTAAATTCAATAAATAAACTACTAATGATTTTAATACATTTTTTGACCAAATTTAATTTTGCACATTTGAAAGAGTTCTGAAGAAATACAAAATGAAATTGAAGGGTAACACTAACCCTAACAGTCTACTATTACTCTGAGAGCTAGTTGACATGTAGTTGCAAAGTTGCTTATAGTTAGTAGAATGTCTAAAGTGAACCAGCGAAATAGAGTGCAACCGATTGAAGAACTGGTTATAATTATAATATGTCTCTGTGTGCTTATCAGATGTTTCATAAAACATGAACCCAATACTAGGTATTTTTGTGAAAGTTCTCTGTGAAAATCTCGTCCGGTTACACCCCATATGAGAAACTAGTTCTACACACAGGAAACCTTTAGAGACTAAAACCTGAAATATGTCTTGAGATTTGGTAACTACATCAGTGGACACTGAGTTATAGAAACAAAATGCACATTTGTGGTTCTCTTTGCATTACCACTGTGAAAAATGCCTCCGATTTCTATAATTCAACAGTCCGTCATCAATTATCCTGTACATTAACATTCTGGCTTAACAATTAACATGTTTCCAAGGCCACAGGAGTTGATGAGGTTCATTTTTTGTGGTTTCAGTTGGATCTACATTCAGTTGGTTTAAGTACAAACTAACTGATGAATTATGATATCTGTGTGAAAACATTTGCAGACTCATTTACACACAAATATGTGTGTCTATTAGTTAATGGCTGCAATTTCAATGTGCTTTGAATAAAAAATAAATAAATTCTCATCGTTTCTGTTTGGTCAATGAGCGTCATGAGCGACTTTAACAAATGATTTTAATAAGAATCCTTTTCATTCATGAAGCTGCTCTGATGGGTAGAGGAAAAGACAGAAAAAGATTATTTATTTACCAATGGATTTTTGTCTTTTCATGGAGCTTTTTGGCACACGAATGTAACTTCCTTGGGATCTCCCAGGAACATTAGGAGGAACTATAGCGACTCCTGGCCTTTCAGATGTGGACTGCTGTAAATCAGATTTATTGATTAGAGCTCAATGTGTGCACACACACACACACACATACAGTTTCAGATCGTTTTAATCATCAATCACAATTATAATCTAACCCAGCTAACAGGGAACATTCTCAGAAGTTATGAACAAACACTCTTCCAGGAACAATAATAGAATGTTTGTTCAGATATCTGATCTTTAATAATGTTACCAAAAAACATTGTTTTTGCATCTAACATTTTTTAAATGTTACAGAGCTTTCAGAGAACATTCAAAAGTAACACTCCCATAATGTTTGGATGGTTATCGCGTGTAATTTCAGGCTACAAGACAACAGGTGCAACTCACAGTAACATCCATGCATGCGGCCGAAAAGCGACTGGAGGGCCGGGGCTTGATAGTCGCGACTGCCGAGGTTTTTCCATTCGCTGGTTTCTGCAGATGCGCAGTCTCTTCCACTTTATCTGCAAAAGGCAATAATGTCTGAGGGACAGGAGAAATACAAATAGCATTCGATCTCTAACACAGGCATCTGCTCTGCAACGGTTGACCACGGGGATCCTGTATGAAGTATGGAGCGCGCTCAGTGCGTGCATGTAAGCAAACAAGGAACATTGTCAGAGACATGGGCAACAATGTAATATTATGACTAGGAAAATAAAAATGGTAACCACCAAAAACGTCTTCTACATTTGACTAAAACAGTAGGATTTAACCTTTCTAGGTGGATCTTTGGGGGAACAAATTACAGTTTAAATATTGATGGTACGAGCTTGTTTTGTCTTATTTTAAATTATTTGAAGCATCTGTGACATGCCAGGAGATCATGTTGGGTTGAGAACCATTGCTTGCATCAGAACATTCTAGTTCTAGTACCCATAGATCATTCAGATATAATCGGTGATGAAACTCAAACGCCAATATTGCTGGAGTCACTGTCACCACGATCCGAGAATGTGACGCCTTCTTACAGAACAGAAGGAGATATGACTCCCTCGACTCGCATCGCTCCTGTGCTTCCATATCAAAATTAGGTTTGGGATAGGGGTGTCCATGGTTAACCGATTAACCGTTAAAAATTGCTTAACCGAGTGAAACATTTTGCTCAGTTAAGTGGCGTCAATGGCGTGCATTGAATTTAGTTGTAATACATTTTTGCACCACCAGAGACCGCCAGAGCGCTCCCATACATTTGTAATGTCCACAAGAAGAAGTAGTCATGACCAGTTTTCTAATATGAAGCGGGCAAAGAAAAGCACAGCGTGGGAGCACTTTAAAATCGAGAATGACGGGGCAAAATGTAAGTATTGCAATGCAGTGCTTAGATATACTTAAAGTACAACCTCGTTGTTGTACAATCTCAACAGCCAACACCCGGGCATCATTATGGTCTTGTGTGTTCACACCGAACGCGAATAGAGTGTCAAATAACGTTACGCGTCTATCGCGTCTAGCTTGAACATTCGCTCGAGTTCAAATTTTTCAACTTGCGCGGAAGACATTCGCGGCAAACGCGTCGCCCAATTCGCGTCATTCGCAACGCCCGGCGCGAATGGTGCGTCTATTCGTGTCTTTGCATTTACTTTGTATGTAATCACTCGCCCATGTAATTAAACTCGCGTTCGGTGTGAACACACCATAACTGCTCTGTCCTTACCACTGCGTTTTATTTCTATAAATTAATTTCGTTTTAAATGTGGTCCAACCAGTTATTAAAGGTGTTAAAAATGAACTACCCCTTTCTCGTGTGTCTGTATCTCGGGGTTGCGGCGCGCACACTATGGTTAACCGAGTATTAACCGCTAAGGGCCTCGGGTTAACGGTTAATGAAAAACTTGAAAACGTGCAGCCCTAGTTTGGGAATCAAGAAATGGACAAAGACAAAGAAAATGGTCCAACGCATCATGAGCTGCGATACAAAAAACATTTCAACCGATGGCAATGATTAAAGAAGCCAAAAAAACTGGGAAAACTAAACCTAACAGGACAGTATAAACCTGCCCTTGGGTTAGACCAGATCACTAACCCTAGTATGATCAACAGCAATAGTGTTGCTTTACTCAAACAAGAGAACTGAGTAAAATAGCAGTGATGTTTTACACACCGTAAACCTCAAATCACAGTCTTTGTTCAAACCACTTAATTGAAAGAAGTGCAAGTATAGTACATCATATAGAAACTGTGTCTATTTCCCGATTAGCGAGGTCAAACAATACATCTATGGGATCTAGACAAATCTGACCGTGATTAAACCAGAAAATCTCAAATTTAGTGAACAAAAACAATTTGTAAAGCTAGGTCTCCTGAACATTAGATCGCTCACACCTAACGCAGTTATTGTAAATGATCACAGATAATAGTTTTAATGTATTCTACCTGACTTAAACCAAACGATTATTCAGTGTTAATGAGTCTACTCCAGCAGACTGTTATTAGCACGAGCCGTCTACTCTCTATAGAGAGATTCTCAATGTTACTCAGGACAGCACACATGTTTACCGGCTAAATGTGACACTCTCAGATATAATAAATCCCTGCTATCTGTGGCTTTGGCTGCCGTACACAGACCCCCAGGGCCCGACGCTGACTGCATGGAAGAGTTCCCGGATTCTCTCTCAGATCTATTGGTCAACGTCGATAAAGCACTGATTGGTGGAGATTTTAACATTCACGTAGATCATTCAAATGATGCGTTCGGGGGTGCGTTTACAGATTTACTAAACTCCTTTGGGCTCAAGCAAAACGTTATCGTTGTAATCATACACTGGATTTAATTATATCGCATGGAACCAGTCCTACTGATATAGATATTGATGTCACTGATCCTTGTAACGTGCACAAGCGTTATCGGCCAGGCAGAACAACTCTCCCAAACACTAGATAGATTGATCACTCTTAATTGTAATGTAGACACACATTTTCTGTAAAGCTGCTTTGAAACTATATGTATTGTGAAAAGCGCTATACAAATAAATGTAAATTAAATTGAACGTTGTAAAGTAAGGCATGTAAGACTGAACTTACCTAGTTCTTCCAGTTCAGATGTCATGGACTTGGATCTCATTGAGAGTGCAGTTGTTGGAGCTCTTTTGGGTGGAGGAGGAGCTACAACACACACACACACACACACACACACACACACACACACACGCACACACACACGTGACTCCTTGCTTTCTGTATCATTTATTCTGTATCTGTATCATATAACAATATTTACAGTATAATAGCATTACATAACATTAGATTTTTCAAAATGAACAAACATTCTGATTTCATAGGCCTGATTAAAGCACTCATATTAGAACATTTTTCATTTTCTGTAGTTATCATCCATCTTAATGTAGCTATGTTTATCATTCATTCATTCATTCATTCATTTATAGTTAAAAATGTGATCCAATAATACTAACACTTTCTTTTTTTTCTCTTCAATTCTATATCTATTTTTTTTAAACATTACGTATACTGTTAGACTAAACTGGGACTCGTCACAGCACTTGCATATTGTTGTCCTATTGTTAGTTTAATTGCTTCTATTGCTCTCCTCATTAGTCGCTTTGGATAAATAATTGGAGGTAAAGGTAAATAAGCAAATAATGCACTGATTGGTAAGAAAAGCTGTGTGTTTTCAGAAGTCCGTCCAAGCCTGCAGAGACACCAGAACACACACCAGAACACACTCCAGAACACACACCAGAACACACTCCAGAACACACTCCAGAACACACACCAGAACACACTCCAGAACACACACCAGAACACACTCCAGAACACACTCCAGAACACACCCCTGAACACACTCCTGAACACACACCAGAACAGACACCAGAACACACTCCAGAACACACTCCAGAACACACTCCTGAACACACACCTGAACACACTCCTGAACACACACCAGAACACACACCAGAACAGACACCAGAACACACTCCAGAACACACTCCAGAACACACTCCAGAACACACTCCTGAACACACACCAGAACACACCCCTGAACACACTCCTGAACACACTCCTGAACACACACCAGAACACACTCCTGAACACAATCCAGAACACACTCCAGAACACACTCCAGAACACACTTCTGAACACACTCCAGAACACACTCCTGAACACACTCCAGAACACACCCCTGAACACACTCCTGAACACACACCAGAACAGACACCAGAACACACTCCTGAACACACACCAGAACACACCCCTGAACACACACCAGAACAGACACCAGAACAGACACCAGAACACACTCCTGAACACACTCCAGAACACACACCGGAACACACTCCTGAACACACTCCTGAACACACTCCTGAACACACTCCTGAACACACTCCTGAACACACTCCAGAACACACTCCTGAACACACACCAGAACACACTCCAGAACACACACCAGAACACACTCCTGAACACATACCAGAACACACCCCTGAACACACTTCTGAACACACTCCTGAACACACTCCAGAACACACTCCAGAACACACTCCAGAACACACTCCAGAACACACTCCAGAACACACTCCTGAACACACTCCAGAACACACTCCAGAACACACTTCTGAACACACTTCTGAACACACTCCAGAACACACTCCTGAACACACTCCTGAACACACTCCAGAACACACACCGGAACACACTCCTGAACACACTCCAGAACACACTCCTGAACACACTCCTGAACACACTCCAGAACACACTCCTGAACACACTCCAGAACACACTCCAGAACACACACCAGAACACACTCCTGAACACACTCCTGAACACACTCCAGAACACACTCCTGAACACACTCCTGAACACACTCCAGAACACACTCCTGAACACACTCCTGAACACACTCCAGAACACACTCCTGAACACACTCCAGAACACACTCCTGAACACACACCAGAACACACTCCTGAACACACTCCTGAACACACTCCAGAACACACTCCAGAACACACTCCAGAACACACTCCTGAACACACTCCAGAACACACTCCAGAACACACTACTGAACACACTCCAGAACACACTCCTGAACACACTCCTGAACACACTCCAGAACACACTCCTGAACACACTCCTGAACACACTCCAGAACACACTCCTGAACACACTCCTGAACACACTCCAGAACACACTCCTGAACACACTCCTGAACACACTCCAGAACACACTCCTGAACACACTCCTGAACACACTCCAGAACACACTCCTGAACACACTCCAGAACACACTCCTGAACACACTCCTGAACACACTCCTGAACACACTCCTGAACACACTCCAGAACACACTCCTGAACACACTCCAGAACACACTTCTGAACACACTCCAGAACACACTCCTGAACACACTCCTGAACACACTCCAGAACACACTCCAGAACACACTCCTGAACACACTCCAGAACACACTCCAGAACACACACCAGAACACACTCCTGAACACACTCCTGAACACACTCCAGAACACACTCCAGAACACACACCAGAACACACTCCAGAACACACTCCAGAACACACTCCAGAACACACTCCAGAACACACTCCTGAACACACTCCAGAACACACTCCTGAACACACTCCTGAACACACTTCTGAACACACTCCTGAACACACGCCAGAACACACTCCAGAACACACTCCTGAACACACTCCTGAACACACTTCTGAACACACTCCAGAACACACTCCTGAACACACTCCAGAACACACTCCAGAACACACTCCAGAACACACTCCTGAACACACTTCTGAACACACTCCAGAACACACTCCTGAACACACTCCAGAACACACTTCTGAACACACTCCAGAACACACTCCTGAACACACTCCAGAACACACTCCAGAACACACACCAGAACACACTCCAGAACACACTCCAGAACACACTCCAGAACACACTCCTGAACACACTTCTGAACACACTCCAGAACACACTCCTGAACACACTCCTGAACACACTCCTGAACACACTCCTGAACACACTCCAGAACACACTCCAGAACACACACCAGAACACACTCCAGAACACACTCCTGAACACACTTCTGAACACACTCCAGAACACACTCCAGAACACACTCCAGAACACACTCTAGAACACACTCCAGAACACACTCCAGAACACACTCCAGAACACACTCCTGAACACACTCCTGAACACACTCCTGAACACACTCCAGAACACACACCAGAACACACTCCAGAATACACTCCAGAACACACTCCTGAACACACTTCTGAACACACTCCAGAACACACTCCAGAACACACTCCAGAACACACTCTAGAACACACTCCAGAACACACTCCTGAACACACTCCTGAACACACTCCAGAACACACACCAGAACACGGATTTATCATGCGTCAAGAGATGAACATAATCCATTAGCTAGATTCGCCAAAGCTGGAATTAAATCTTCATGTGTTTACAAATATAACTGCGTATTTGCTGAATGCAGACAGTATATGATAGAGTATCATAATGTTTGATTTTTTATAAATAGACATGAGTAAAAAAGACTTGTGTAGGGAGAAATGAGCTTTGCTAAACATCATGAGCTGCGACACAAACAAATAAATAAATGCCCTACATATCAACCGATGGCAACGATTAAAGAAGCCAAATTTATAAGATAATAAATGTATTAAATAATTTAAATCAATCAGTGTTTTTCAACTGTGGAAAGAGGTCAATAAAACAGCTGGAGAACATAACGTTACATTTACCTCAGGAAAGTAATTTAATGACCATAGCACATTAGTTGGCACTGTGCACTATATTACATATTTATTGTATTTTTACTTATATCATTAAAACATTATAACGTTGTTTTTATAATAAAAAACGCAATATATTATTGAGTTATTTTTAACCTTTAATAATAATACCAGCTGACAGTGCTCTCTCTGTACAGCATTAGGTGAGTTTGTTTCTTGAGAAAAACGAACATCAACTGTAGCAAGATCGGAATCAAATCACAAGAATTGAATTGAAATCATGACATTTGTGTCAAGCAACAATAAAAACAGTAACCTAGCAGTCACTGTACCATGTAAACATTGTAACATGTTGTCACTAAACCTAGTAAAATTATGTTTAGTTACAAAATGAAAAACTTGCACCCCCCCAATCCATAATTTTGTCTGAAATGTTTCAGTTGGATGTTCATCTTGTGTTTTTTAAATGATACTAGGCCTACTTGTTATAATGTTTGAAGAATGACAAATGTAACATTCCCTTAACGGTCACATGACCAAGAAAAAACATTGTGCGATTCCTCGAGGATTGTCGTACCTTTTTTCCGGGTTTTGTCGTCTTGCTCCGGATTCCTGCTGACTCGCACCACTTTAATGACGAGTCGGTTTCCTCCGTGTTTAATCATGTTTACGACCTGCCGATGCCCCATCTTCACCACGTTCTGATGATTGACCTGTCACACACACACACACACACACACAGGTCAGAGTGTTACTGGTGAACAGTGATTACATCATGCAGATTAGTTCAGCGTATGAGAGAAGAGATTGGACTAGCGATGGAGAATATCTGCCCCGTATTTAAAATCACAACCAGTGACGCAAATTAATAATTCTTTTGAGTCTGTTGTTCTCAGTGAATCGGCTTCACGGTCTGAAGTGATTTGTGATAGAGTTAGATTGGTTTGACCTGCTCTCTCACTGAGCACAGAGAACTGACAGAGAGAAATATAGCAGAATTGTGGAGATATAACTGATATACAGGTTCGAGAAGGTAGCTGAATAAAAAATATCAATGCAAGTGAATCAATATATGATTTAATTTATACAGGTTCACATCGAGCTAAAAAGACAACATTTTATTAGCTTTATATATAAGTCTTAAATCTTATTTAATAGTATTTGTAATTAAATTAAAAGCTTAAATAAATAAATATTTTTATATTATAAAAATATAAATTGTTATAATATTATTATTAACGATTAAAGGTGCACTGTGTAATGCACCCAACAGAAGTTATGGTGGCCGACAGGAAGTGATGTCGTCGTCTGAGACAGCAGAGAGGAGCCAGTTAAACAGTGAGGTTTCGCAGTGGTCTTTATACACCACTGAAAACATAGTTATGTATATGATATTGCATTTCTGTCAACAGATCCTCCTAAATATTACACAATGCACCTTTAAGTGAATGGAATATTTTCTTTAAATATTGTCAACTCTTTCTTTCTCCAAATCAGCAAACGAATGATTAACAGAATCATTAAGAAGCTGTGATAGTGAAGTGTAATTGGAAGCCGAGTCGGCCTGTTCTGATTGGCTGAAGTATAACGGGACGCGTGTTCTGAGGGAAGTGTGTTCTGATTGGCTGAAGTATAACGGGACGCGTGTTCTGAGGGAAGTGTGTTCTGATTGGCTGAAGTATAACGGGACGCGTGCTCTGAGGGAAGTGTGTTCTGATTGGCTGAAGTATAACGGGACGCGTGTTCTGAGGGAAGTGTGTTCTGATTGGCTGAAGTATAACGGGACGCGTGTTCTGAGGGAAGTGTGTTCTGATTGGCTGAAGTATAACGGGACGCGTGTTCTGAGGGAAGTGTGTTCTGATTGGCTGAAGTATAACGGGACGCGTGCTCTGAGGGAAGTGTGTTCTGATTGGCTGAAGTATAACGGGACGCGTGTTCTGAGGGAAGTGTGTTCTGATTGGCTGAAGTATAACGGGACGCGTGTTCTGAGGGAAGTGTGTTCTGATTGGCTGAAGTATAACGGGACGCGTGCTCTGAGGGAAGTGTGTTCTGATTGGCTGAAGTATAACGGGACGCGTGTTCTGAGGGAAGTGTGTTCTGATTGGCTGAAGTATAACGGGACGCGTGCTCTGAGGGAAGTGTGTTCTGATTGGCTGAAGTATAACGGGACGCGTGTTCTGAGGGAAGTGTGTTCTGATTGGCTGAAGTATAACGGGACGCGTGCTCTGAGGGAAGTGTGTTCTGATTGGCTGAAGTATAACGGGACGCGTGCTCTGAGGGAAGTGTGTTCTGATTGGCTGAAGTATAACGGGACGCGTGTTCTGAGGGAAGTGTGTTCTGATTGGCTGAAGTATAACGGGACGCGTGTTCTGAGGGAAGTGTGTTCTGATTGGCTGAAGTATAACGGGACGCGTGCTCTGAGGGAAGTGTGTTCTGATTGGCTGAAGTATAACGGGACGCGTGTTCTGAGGGAAGTGTGTTCTGATTGGCTGAAGTATAACGGGACGCGTGTTCTGAGGGAAGTGTGTTCTGATTGGCTGAAGTATAACGGGACGCGTGTTCTGAGGGAAGTGTGTTCTGATTGGCTGAAGTATAACGGGACGCGTGCTCTGAGGGAAGTGTGTTCTGATTGGCTGAAGTATAACGGGACGCGTGCTCTGAGGGAAGTGTGTTCTGATTGGCTGAAGTATAACGGGACGCGTGCTCTGAGGGAAGTGTGTTCTGATTGGCTGAAGTATAACGGGACGCGTGTTCTGAGGGAAGTGTGTTCTGATTGGCTGAAGTATAACGGGACGCGTGTTCTGAGGGAAGTGTGTTCTGATTGGCTGAAGTATAACGGGACGCGTGTTCTGAGGGAAGTGTGTTCTGATTGGCTGAAGTATAACGGGACGCGTGTTCTGAGGGAAGTGTGTTCTGATTGGCTGAAGTATAACGGGACGCGTGTTCTGAGGGAAGTGTGTTCTGATTGGCTGAAGTATAACGGGACGCGTGTTCTGATTGGCTGAAGTATAACGGGACGCGTGTTCTGAGGGAAGTGTGTTCTGATTGGCTGAAGTATAACGGGACGCGTGTTCTGAGGGAAGTGTGTTCTGATTGGCTGAAGTATAACGGGACGCGTGTTCTGAGGGAAGTGTGTTCTGATTGGCTGAAGTATAACGGGACGCGTGTTCTGAGGGAAGTGTGTTCTGATTGGCTGAAGTATAACGGGACGCGTGCTCTGAGGGAAGTGTGTTCTGATTGGCTGAAGTATAACGGGACGCGTGTTCTGAGGGAAGTGTGTTCTGATTGGCTGAAGTATAACGGGACGCGTGTTCTGAGGGAAGTGTGTTCTGATTGGCTGAAGTATAACGGGACGCGTGCTCTGAGGGAAGTGTGTTCTGATTGGCTGAAGTATAACGGGACGCGTGTTCTGAGGGAAGTGTGTTCTGATTGGCTGAAGTATAACGGGACGCGTGTTCTGAGGGAAGTGTGTTCTGATTGGCTGAAGTATAACGGGACGCGTGTTCTGAGGGAAGTGTGTTCTGATTGGCTGAAGTATAACGGGACGCGTGCTCTGAGGGAAGTGTGTTCTGATTGGCTGAAGTATAACGGGACGCGTGTTCTGAGGGAAGTGTGTTCTGATTGGCTGAAGTATAACGGGACGCGTGCTCTGAGGGAAGTGTGTTCTGATTGGCTGAAGTATAACGGGACGCGTGTTCTGAGGGAAGTGTGTTCTGATTGGCTGAAGTATAACGGGACGCGTGTTCTGAGGGAAGTGTGTTCTGATTGGCTGAAGTATAACGGGACGCGTGCTCTGAGGGAAGTGTGTTCTGATTGGCTGAAGTATAACGGGACGCGTGTTCTGAGGGAAGTGTGTTCTGATTGGCTGAAGTATAACGGGAAGCGTGTTCTGAGGGAAGTGTGTTCTGATTGGCTGAAGTATAACGGGACGCGTGCTCTGAGGGAAGTGTGTTCTGATTGGCTTAAGTATAACGGGACGCGTGCTCTGAGGGAAGTGTGTTCTGATTGGCTGAAGTATAACGGGACGCGTGCTCTGAGGGAAGTGTGTTCTGATTGGCTGAAGTATAACGGGACGCGTGTTCTGAGGGAAGTGTGTTCTGATTGGCTGAAGTATAACGGGACGCGTGTTCTGAGGGAAGTGTGTTCTGATTGGCTGAAGTATAACGGGACGCGTGTTCTGAGGGAAGTGTGTTCTGATTGGCTGAAGTATAACGGGACGCGTGTTCTGAGGGAAGTGTGTTCTGATTGGCTGAAGTATAACGGGACGCGTGTTCTGAGGGAAGTGTGTTCTGATTGGCTGAAGTATAACGGGACGCGTGCTCTGAGGGAAGTGTGTTCTGATTGGCTGAAGTATAACGGGACGCGTGTTCTGAGGGAAGTGTGTTCTGATTGGCTGAAGTATAACGGGACGCGTGTTCTGAGGGAAGTGTGTTCTGATTGGCTGAAGTATAACGGGACGCGTGTTCTGAGGGAAGTGTGTTCTGATTGGCTGAAGTATAACGGGACGCGTGTTCTGAGGGAAGTGTGTTCTGATTGGCTGAAGTATAACGGGACGCGTGCTCTGAGGGAAGTGTGTTCTGATTGGCTGAAGTATAACGGGACGCGTGTTCTGAGGGAAGTGTGTTCTGATTGGCTGAAGTATAACGGGACGCGTGTTCTGAGGGAAGTGTGTTCTGATTGGCTGAAGTATAACGGGACGCGTGCTCTGAGGGAAGCGTGTTCTGATTGGCTCTGAAGGAAGAGTGTTGTGATTGGCTCTGAGGGAAGCGTGTTCTGAATGGTTCTGAGGGAAGCGTGTTCTGATTGGCTCTGAGGGAAGTGTTCTGATTAGCTCTGAAGGAAGCGTGTTCTGATTGGTTCTGAGGGAAGTGTGTTCTGATTGGCTGAAGTATAACGGGACGCGTGTTCTGAGGGAAGTGTGTTCTGATTGGCTGAAGTATAACGGGACGCGTGTTCTGAGGGAAGTGTGTTCTGATTGGCTGAAGTATAACGGGACGCGTGCTCTGAGGGAAGTGTGTTCTGATTGGCTGAAGTATAACGGGACGCGTGTTCTGAGGGAAGTGTGTTCTGATTGGCTGAAGTATAACGGGACGCGTGTTCTGAGGGAAGTGTGTTCTGATTGGCTGAAGTATAACGGGACGCGTGTTCTGAGGGAAGTGTGTTCTGATTGGCTGAAGTATAACGGGACGCGTGTTCTGAGGGAAGTGTGTTCTGATTGGCTGAAGTATAACGGGACGCGTGTTCTGAGGGAAGTGTGTTCTGATTGGCTGAAGTATAACGGGACACGTGCTCTGAGGGAAGTGTGTTCTGATTGGCTGAAGTATAACGGGACGCGTGCTCTGAGGGAAGTGTGTTCTGATTGGCTGAAGTATAACGGGACGCGTGTTCTGAGGGAAGTGTGTTCTGATTGGCTGAAGTATAACGGGACGCGTGTTCTGAGGGAAGTGTGTTCTGATTGGCTGAAGTATAACGGGACGCGTGCTCTGAGGGAAGCGTGTTCTGATTGGCTCTGAAGGAAGAGTGTTGTGATTGGCTCTGAGGGAAGCGTGTTCTGAATGGTTCTGAGGGACGCGTGTTCTGATTGGCTCTGAGGGAAGTGTTCTGATTAGCTCTGAAGGAAGCGTGTTCTGATTGGCTCTGAGGGAAGTTTGTTCTGATTGGCTCTGAGGGAAGCGTGTTCTGATTGGCTCTGAGGGAAGCGTGTTCTGATTGGCTCTGAGGGAAGCGTGTTCTGATTGGCTCTGAGGGAAGTGTGTTCTGATTGGCTCTGAGGGAAGTTTGTTCTGATTGGCTCTGAGGGAAGCATGTTCTGATTGGCTCTGAGGGAAGCGTGTTCTGATTGGCTCTGAGGGAAGTGTTCTGATTGGCTCTGAGGGAATCGTGTTCTGATTTCTCTGAGGGAAGCGTGTTCTGATTGGCTCTGAGGGAAGCGTGTTCTGATTGGCTCTGAAGGAAGCGTGTTCTGATTGGCTCTGAGGGAAGCATGTTCTGATTGGCTCTGAGGGAAGCGTGTTCTGATTGGCTCTGAGGGAAGTGTTCTGATTGGCTCTGAGGGAAGCGTGTTCTGATTGGCTCTGAGGGAAGTGTTCTGATTGGCTCTGAGGGAATCGTGTTCTGATTTCTCTGAGGGAAGCGTGTTCTGATTGGCTCTGAGGGAAGCGTGTTCTGATTAGCTCTGAAGGAAGCGTGTTCTGATTTCTCTGAGGGAAGCGTGTTCTGATTGGCTCTGAGGGAAGCGTGTTCTGATTGGCTCTGAAGGAAGCGTGTTCTGATTGGCTCTGAGGGAAGCATGTTCTGATTGGCTCTGAGGGAAGTTTGTTCTGATTGGCTCTGAGGGTAGTTTGTTCTGATTGGCTCTGAAGGAAGCGTGTTCTGATTTCTCTGAGGGAAGCGTGTTCTAATTGGCTCTGAGGGAAGCGTGTTCTGATTGGCTCTGAGGGAAGTGTTCTGATTGGCTCTGAGGGAATCGTGTTCTGATTTCTCTGAGGGAAGTGTTCTGATTAGCTCTGAAGGAAGCGTGTTCTGATTTCTCTGAGGGAAGCGTGTTCTGATTGGCTCTGAGGGAAGTGTGTTCTGATTGGCTCTGAAGGAAGCGTGTTCTGATTGGCTCTGAGGGAAGCATGTTCTGATTGGCTCTGAAGGAAGCGTGTTCTGATTTCTCTGAGGGAAGCGTGTTCTAATTGGCTCTGAGGGAAGCGTGTTCTGATTAGCTCTGAAGGAAGTGTTCTGATTAGCTCTGAAGGAAGCGTGTTCTGATTGGTTCTGAGGGAAGCGTGTTCTGATTGGCTCTGAAGGAAGCGTGTTCTGATTGGCTCTGAGGGAAGCGTGTTCTGATTGGCTCTGAGGGAAGTGTGTTCTGATTGGCTCTGAGGGAAGTTTGTTCTGATTGGCTCTGAGGGAAGCATGTTCTGATTGGCTCTGAGGGAAGCGTGTTCTGATTGGCTCTGAGGGAAGTGTTCTGATTGGCTCTGAGGGAATCGTGTTCTGATTTCTCTGAGGGAAGTGTTCTGATTGGCTCTGAGGGAAGCGTGTTCTGATTGGCTCTGAAGGAAGCGTGTTCTGATTTCTCTGAGGGAAGCGTGTTCTGATTGGCTCTGAGGGAAGTTTGTTCTGATTGGCTCTGAAGGAAGTGTTCTGATTAGCTCTGAAGGAAGCGTGTTCTGATTGGCTCTGAAGGAAGCGTGTTCTGATTGGCTCTGAGGGAAGCGTGTTCTGATTGGCTCTGAGGGAAGTTTGTTCTGATTGGCTCTGAAGGAAGTGTTCTGATTAGCTCTGAGGGAAGCGTGTTCTAATTGGCTCTGAGGGAAGCGTGTTCTGATTGGCTCTGAAGGAAGTGTTCTAATTGGCTCTGAGGGAAGCGTGTTCTGATTGGCTCTGAAGGAAGTGTTCTGATTAGCTCTGAAGGAAGCGTGTTCTGATTGGCTCTGAGGGAAGTGTGTTCTGATTGGCTCTGAGGGAAGTGTTCTGATTAGCTCTGAAGGAAGCGTGTTCTGATTGGCTCTGAGGGAAGCGTGTTCTGATTGGCTCTGAGGGAAGCGTGTTCTGATTGGCTCTGAGGGAAGTGTTCTGATTAGCTCTGAAGGAAGCGTGTTCTGATTGGCTCTGAGGGAAGCGTGTTCTGATTGGCTCTGAGTGAAGAGTTTTCTGATTGGCTCTGAAGGAAGCGTGTTCTGATTTCTCTGAGGGAAGTGTTCTGATTAGCTCTGAAGGAAGCGTGTTCTGATTGGCTCTGAGGGAAGCGTGTTCTGATTGGCTCTGAGGGAAGTTTGTTCTGATTGGCTCTGAAGGAAGCGTGTTCTGATTTCTCTGAGGGAAGCGTGTTCTGATTGGCTCTGAGGGAAGCGTGTTCTGATTTCTCTGAGGGAAGTTTGTTCTGATTGGCTCTGAAGGAAGCGTGTTCTGATTTCTCTGAGGGAAGCGTGTTCTGATTGGCTCTGAGGGAAGCGTGTTCTGATTAGCTCTGAAGGAAGTGTTCTGATTAGCTCTGAAGGAAGCGTGTTCTGATTGGCTCTGAGGGAAGCGTGTTCCGATTGGCTCTGAGGGAAGCGTGTTCTGATTTCTCTGAGGGAAGCGTGTTCTGATTGGCTCTGAGGGAAGCGTGTTCTGATTGGCTCTGAGGGAAGCGTGTTCTGATTAGCTCTGAGGGAAGCGTGTTCTGATTGGCTCTGAGGGAAGCGTGTTCTGATTGGCTCTGAGGGAAGCGTGTTCTGATTTCTCTGAGGGAAGCGTGTTCTGATTGGCTCTGAGGGAAGCGTGTTCTGATTTCTCTGAGGGAAGCGTGTTCTGATTGGCTCTGAGGGAAGCGTGTTCTGATTTCTCTGAGGGAAGCGTGTTCTGATTGGCTCTGAAGGAAGCGTGTTCTGATTAGCTCTGAAGGAAGTGTTCTGATTAGCTCTGAAGGAAGCGTGTTCTGATTGGCTCTGAGGGAAGCGTGTTCTGATTAGCTCTGAAGGAAGTGTTCTGATTAGCTCTGAAGGAAGCGTGTTCTGATTGGCTCTGAGGGAAGCATGTTCTGATTAGCTCTGAAGGAAGTGTTCTGATTAGCTCTGAAGGAAGCGTGTTCTGATTGGCTCTGAGGGAAGCGTGTTCTGATTAGCTCTGAAGGAAGTGTTCTGATTAGCTCTGAAGGAAGCGTGTTCTGATTGGCTCTGAGGGAAGCGTGTTCTGATTGGCTCTGAGGGAAGTGTTCTGATTAGCTCTGAAGGAAGCGTGTTCTGATTGGCTCTGAGGGAAGCGTGTTCTGATTGGCTCTGAGGGAAGCGTGTTCTGATTGGCTCTGAGGGAAGCGTCTTCTGATTGGCTCTGAGGGAAGCATGTTCTGATTGGCTCTGAGGGAAGCGTGTTCTGATTGGCTCTGAGGGAAGCGTGTTCTGATTGGCTCTGAAGGAAGAGTGTTGTGATTGGCTCTGAGGGAAGCGTGTTCTGATTGGCTCTGAGGGAAGCGTGTTCTGATTGGCTCTGAGGGAATCGTGTTCTGATTGGCTCTGAGGTAAGTGTTCTGATTGGTTCTGAAGGAAGCGTGTTCTGATTGGCTCTGAGGGAAGCGTGTTCTGATTGGTTCTGAGGGAAGCGTGTTCTGATTGGCTCTGAGTGAAGAGTTTTCTGATTGGCTCTGATGGAAGTGTGTTGTGATTGGCTCTGAGGGAAGTGTTCTGATTAGCTCTGAAGGAAGCGTGTTCTGATTGGCTCTGAGGGAAGCGTGTTCTGATTGGCTCTGAGTGAAGAGTTTTCTGATTGGCTCTGATGGAAGTGTGTTGTGATTGGCTCTTACCTCGAGCAGGAAGTCCCCGGTGCGAAGCCCCATCAGCCAGGAAACACCGCCCTCATCCACAGACTCCAGGTACTGCAGCGCCGGGAACACCGGTGTGGGGATGAACTCCTCGATCGGCGTATCGGCTGCGGGAACACAAACACCACACGCTCACCAGTCCTTTATCTGTGTTAGGCGGTCTCATGCTTTTAAAACACAATACTACAGACGCTTCATCTTACACTCATTCATCTGTGTTATACAGTCTCATGCTTTCAACACCATACTACTCACATTAACTCCTGTGACATCAAGTGTTACAAACAACCTGCTTTAGAGTTATATATGCTTTTGTGATATAAAACAAAAGTTTGGAATAATATTTTTTTTAGGATATTCAAAGCAAGGCTGCATTTATTTGACCAAAAATACAGTAAAAACTGAAATATTGTTATAATGTAAATCAGCTGTTTTCTATGTGAATATATAGTAAGTGTAATTTATTCCTGTGATCAAAGCTGAGTTTCAGCATCATTACTCCAGTCTTCAGTGTCACATGATCCTTCAGAAATCACTCTAATATGAGGATCTGATGCTCAAGAAACATTTATGATTATTATCAGTGTTGAAAACAGTTGTGCTGCTTCAGATTTCTGTGGAAACCGTCATACATTACCATTTAAAAGGTTTAAGGGTAAGATTTTTTTTTAATTGAAATTGATACTTTTATTCATCAAAGATGCATTCATTGTGATGCTAGTCAACACATCAGAATAAGTCCAATTCTTTAAAGCAATACAAAAGATTATTAAAACAATGATTACAAATTTACTTTAAAGTAAAACGTTTAATTTGACATAATTACAAAGTGACTTAATTTTGTTAAAAATATAGTCATGAAAGTGTCTTTAATGTGGCCTTTAATTCATAAATAAACCTGCAAGTAGTTTTTTTTAATATACACTTCTTGAAAGTTCTGCTTCACTGACATCAACCCTTCACGTGCCTAACATCATCATAACACTGCGTGCTGAGTGTTGAATAATGATGATGATGAAGATGATGATGAAGATGATGATGATGAAGATGACGAGAATAAAGATGATAATGAAGATGATGAGGATGATGATGAAGATGATGATGAAGATGATGATGAAGAAGATAAGGAAGATGATGAGAATGATGATGAGAATGATGATGAGAATGATGATGAAGACTTACCTTTAGCTCCTCGAAGCACGAACCCGAAGCCTTCGTTGTCCTGCTTCTGTAACACCACAGTCTTCTGCTCGGTCACACACTCACTGTGGAGGAAATGATGCGCGTTATTCAAGCCCTTCATCCTCCTCCTCCTCCTCCCCGTCGCGCAGTTCATCGTGGCGGATCATCGGATCTCCTGTGATGAATGACGAGGATCCGACGGCGTCGCCGCACAGTTCCACCGCGCTTTAACCGCTCCGCTCGCTGGCGCCGCTGCTCTTCAGCTGATCTGATCTAACACACACGTCTCTCTTAACTTTGAGAGAACCTCTCCAGAACGTGCGCCTGTCACTCCTCCTATGATCATTCATATTTTATGGTTGTGCATAATTTACTGTCTGAGGATGTTTTGTATTAAAGCGCACGTGACACGTGATATAACATCTTGTGACATAACATAAGAGATCGTTGCATATGAATCTTAGGCCTGGTTTCACAGACAGGGTTTGGATTAGGCCTAAACATGCAGTTCAGTCTCTGTGAGAAACCTAAGCTTCAGGACGTCAAGCCTGTGTTGAGTTATTGAAGAGGAACATAATTTGATGTTGAAATATGGACAGAAACTGAACAGCCAGAACACGTCCTAAAGGTCCTGCATGCTTTCAATCAGGTCCTTACCTGTCAGCGCTGTCATAGGAGCCGACAGTAAAGTGTCTGAACAGCCTCTTCTTATCGTTCCTCTCCATCCCGCTCTCTGGAGAACAAACCACATCGATTATTTATTTTATATTTATCAAAGTAAAACCATGTTTTTTTGACTACCATTTGTATAACCACAAAAATAGTTCATATGGTTTTTGTACTAAGTGTTACTTAGATGATATTTATTCTTAGTGCAAATAGTGGCAGATAATATTTGCAGCTCTGTGTATTTTAGTACATCATAAAACACTAATAATAACATTTTCATTGTATATGATCATATTTATTTAAATCCATAAACGCATGCTTATTTTGCCAACAAGACGTTAGTGTTACTGGTTTTACACACCCAGTCCATCCAGCTCCATCAAAACCGATGTTGTTCACACTATATATAAATAGATTAATTATACAAAAATCTAATTCTATAGGCTATAGTATAAGTCCAAATAGCACCAAAAAATATATATATATTTGCAATAGTGCACACATTTATTGTTACTTAGATTAAATTTATACTTAATATAATAGTAAGTATATTCCTCATTATAATAATTAATGCGCAGAATAAAGGGGCGGGGCCTGGTTGAGTTAGTTAGTAGTGTGTTAAACTGGTGGTTATGGAAAGGGGCGGGACATTTCCCAGACACACTCGAAGCGCTCGACCAATCACAACACACTGCTCCAGCCGACCAATCAGAGCACAGTGTGCTTTTCAGAAGGAGTGGCTTCATAGAGACAGGAAGTAAACAGAGCATTACTGACAGACTGGGAAGAGAGGAGCCGCAACAATGGAGAATATGAGGAGAATAATCAACATTCAAGCAGGAAAACCTGTTCTAGTAGAGCCTGAAACATCATCAAGACTGTGTAAGAGGGGTGTAACAGCACCTCTTTAAACCTACAGAGAGTCATAATCTACACCTATCCATTTAGCAAATGCTTTCAACTTTACGGATGAGGAATAAAACAGCAGAAGCGATTTATCCTGATGGTCCTTCTCAACACACACTTACTGGGTCTCTCTTTGTCAGGCTTGACAGGAATCTCTTCCAAACACCGCGCAGGGAACCAGCCCACCTGACCTCGACAGTTGCCTTCCCAGAATCCTCCTTCACCAACACTGAGAACTGCACACAAGAGAGACGCGAAGTGAGGAGCGAGGCAGCATCCAGACCCCAGCGGTGACCTCTGACCCCGCACTGACCTCTGACCCGCTCGTTCTTGTGGAGGCTGATCTCTCCGCCAGCCTGAGGGAGGTATGAGCGAACCGCCACGAACCGCCGGCCGGGAACGGCGCTGTACATCTTCCTCCTGCCGCTCTGCACACACGCTCGGCCATTGGCACTGCAGGAGCACAGACACACAACTTTACATTTGGTAAAAGCGCATTTCTATGAAAGCAATGTTGTAAGAACATGAACGTGAACAAATGTGAGCCAGCGCTGCATCTTCACTGAAGGTTAAGCCTTGGCAACTAAACATTCAAGCGCAAGAAGAAGCGAGAGGGAACTGTGTGGGAATACTGAAATGAGTTCTGCTTCACGTCTTCTAGCACTTGAACGAACATATTCACATAAAATGATGTCAAAAAATGCATTGGGTTAGGTTGGTCATCTTGAAAGAACTGTTGCATAAATTCACCCTTATAATAATTAAGCAAAGGCTGATTACGTAGTTTCATTTCCTTGGTAAACTAAAACTGAACGTGTTAGTCGTGATTATTTATAGACAGTAGGGCTGTAACAATATAGCGAAATACAAAATTACAATATGTACCGTGGATAGTGACAATATGTATTGTGTATAGTTCAACCAAAATGAAAATTCTTGTGTGAGAAAAAAAAATCAAGTTTACAGAGTTTTAGTGCCAGTACTACATTAAACTACTATAATGTAGAATATAATGTATAATAATGAAATGGGGATCCTGATAAAGCCAAATGTCTGATGTTACCAGTAAAAAGCAGAATACATTATTTGTGAAGTTCACAACGTAATTTCGGGAGGAGTGAACCCATCTAATCTTTCAATAAACTGCTGGAGCATATAAGCATCCGCTCACCTCGCTCTGGCATCAGCTGTTCTGGCGTCCCTCCACCTCCCCAACTCCACCTACATGATATAGTTATCTTGCTACCCTACTCATCATCTAAGCATTAGTAGTCCCACTGGGGGGTTTATCTAAGCTCAAGTTGAGGCTGCTTCCTCGAGCCCCTCCACTGCGGACATCAAGCCACATTCGCTTAACCTTATTAGCTTAAAGATTATATGGGCAAAGGAACTCGTGAATAAACATATCTAGTCAGTGAAAGAGTGCAAGCATATTAATCTAAAATAATTCTGCTTTCAGCTTCAGAATCATGAATATTGTTATTCGGGTTATTGTCCTGTGCATTGGGTTATCAGCACTAAGTTAACCTTTTCCCACATGTCTTGGAGTATCGCAGTAATATGGTATGGTTCAGTATCGTGATATGTAACGCATCGGGACATGAGGGTCTCGCTACACCCCTACACAGCCATACGTATATGATGGGAAGCTTAACGTTTGCGTTTGGTTGAGTCTGGCCTACCACTTGAGTTGAGTGCTGTGTTCGTCCTCCAGGCTGATGGACAGGGAGCGGCTGCTCGGGACGGTCCTGCCGCTGCGACCCGTCACCATCTTCACGCGAGCGCTCGGGTCTCTCAGCATCTTCTGCGGGGACAGACTGAGAGCGGCCCGTTGCTCTGGACTCACGGCTCGCGCCGGCAGACTGTTGTCACTGTTGGAGCGCAGGAGCAGCCGAGACACTGACAGACTCCGGTTCTTCTGCAGGAGCCGCTGTCTGGAGAAGGACGAGGCCTCGGAGAACGGCACTGACACACACACACACACACACACACACAGACACAGGTCAAACAAATCGATAGTGTGGATATTAGGACAAAAGATGCGGTTAAAAATGAACTATGAAGGGGAAGGATGAAGAAACACACTGACGAGAACAGAGCTGATCTAGAGAGTGAAAACTGCTCTTATATCATGTTTCAGATGTAAAGGGTTATTAAACCACTCGCATTTGAAAATACATGATCAAATATGATCAACCTTCCCTCGTAAGATTAAGTACTGTGCGGATCTTAAATAAACAATGTCAAGATATCAGACTTACAACACATTACATGTATGGGAATTATAATCCATTATAACTTACACTAGTGCTCAAAAGTTTGGGGTCGGTAAGATTTTTTAAATGTTTTTGAAAGAGTCTCTTCTGCTCACCAAGGCTGCATTTATTTGATTAAAATACAGTTAAACAGTGAAATATTATTATAATGTCAAACAGCTGTTTTCTATGTGAATATATAGTAAAGTGTAATTTATTCCTGTGATCAAAGCTGAATTTCCAGCATCATTACTCCAGTCTTCAGTGTCACACGATCCTTCAGAAATCACTCTAATATGAGGATCTGATGATCAAGAAACATTTATGATTTTTATCGATGTTATTCATATTTCTGTAGAAACCATCATGCATTTTATTTGTCAGTATGAATAGAAAAATCAAAAGAACTGCATTTATTTAAAATATATATTTTTTATCATTGAAAACATCATTAATTTCTTTAAAAAATAATCTTACTGGTACCAACATTTTGAACGGTAGTACAAGTGGACATAAACCGTGTTATACTCTTAAAAGTTAGGGTATTATAAATGTATTATACTGTAACTTGTTACAATTATTCATGAGACGATTAAATGTGGGTTTTAATGTGTTTTTTTTGTTGCATAATACATTTTACATCTGCATAATGTAGAATAAATACAGGCTTCATAGAAAATGTAACACATTTTGCCATGGTGGAGTTATCGGCCCGACTTCCAAAGCTGAGCCGATGACAGGACCATAGGAATCCTGAGGCCAAAGGTGGAGCCGGAGGGATGAGGGAGGCTGGTGGAGCCGTGAGGACGACACACCCAAGGTGGAGCCGGAGGGACGAGGGAGCCTGGTGGAGCCGTGAGTACGATGGCCCCAGGTGGAGCCGGAGGGACGAGGGAGGCAGGTGGAGCCGTGAGTACGATGGCCCCAGGTGGAGCCAAGGTGGAGCCGGAGGGACGAGGGAGGCAGGTGGAGCCGTGAGGACGACATACCCAAGGTGGAGCCGGAGGGACGAGGGAGCCTGGTGGAGCCGTGAGGACGATGGTCCCAGGTGGAGCCGGAGGGACGAGGGAGCCTAGTTGAGCCATGAGGACGATGGTCCCAGGTGGAGCCAAGGTGGAGCCGGAGGGACGAGGGAGCCTAGTGGAGCCATGAGGACGATGGTCCCAGGTGAAGCCGGAGGGACGAGGGAGCCTGGTGGAGCCATGAGGACGATGGTCCCAGGTGGAGCCAAGGTGGAGCCGGAGGGACGAGGGAGGCTGGTGGAGCCGTGAGAACGACGTACCCAAGGTGGAGCCAAGGTGGAGCTGGAGGGACGAGAAGCCTGGTGGACCCGTGAGGACGATGGTCCCAGGTGGAGCCAAGTCGAAGCCGGAGGGATGAGGAGCCTGGTGGAGCCATGAGGAAGACGGTCCCAAGGTGGAGCCAAGGTGGAGCCGGAGGGACAAGGAAGGCTGGTGGAACCATGAGGATGACATACCCAAGGTGGAGCCAAGGTAACCGGAGGGACAAGGGAGGCTGGTGGAGCCATGAGGACGACGTACCCAAGGTGGAGCCAAGGTGGAGCCGGAGGGATGAGGAGCCGGGTGGAGCCAACTCGTCGATTGGTCGAGCTGGAGTTATGGAAATGGCAGCGGAAGCCAAAGCGAAGTCAGGGGATTCACACTCCAAGGCAGAGCTGATGCCCAGCCGATCCGAGGCGGAGCCGACTTACAGTCTAATTCAGTGGAGCCGAGGGAAAGAAGGGCGGCAGGGAAGGCGGGGCCGGAGGAGCGACTGATAGGGCCGGAGGAGCTGGCAGAAGGAGGCAGGGTGGGTGTGTCTTCAACAATACTGGATTTTTTTGTGCACTGCAGACAGCAGAGGATCGCCTCTCTCCAGGTTCCTGTTCCCATGTCTGGTAAGTCAAGGTGGCTGTACTAGTTCACCCACCAACCAATAAAGAGACTCGATTGTCTCGTCATCAGAGTTGGAGTGCAGCCAGTTGACTAAATTAAAAAACTCTTACGGGCTGCAAAAAACATTTTCTTCTTATTAGGTCCGCTATTCTGTAACGTCTTAATGATGATGATAAAGAAGATTATTGTATTGTATTAAAACAGCGTTAACTCAGACAACAACGAAACAACATGCTACACACAAACAATGAACTGAAGGCAAGGAGGAACTTAAATACACAGTGATAATGAACTACATACAGACAGGTGTGCTCATTAAATGAATGTCCATGACAACTGATTAGTGGCGGGAAACTAAAACAAAGGAAACTGAAATGAAACAAACAAAAAGTCCATGAAAATGAAACTAATGCTAAGCGTGACATGAGTGTGTGATTGCCTGAGATTATTATTGATGGGTTTGGATAGAGAGAGAGTTTCTGAATCTGTTCAGTATCTATTCAATTGAATCCCTGATCACACCAAGTTTAATTTGAATAAAAAACACAAAGGTTTGCAAATGATTATTTTGCGCTACTGAGACCAAATTCAGCAGTAATTCTCATTCTCTGTATAAATCAAACTTGAACCAGTGTCTCAGACTGGCACATCCGAGGCTGTCCTACTTCTATAATTTGGCGGTCTGGAGTAAACCCATTTTCAGGTGCGTGTCCTTAAAACCCTCTTTCTTATGCAAACAGCTGAAGAATCTGTTGCTAATTCAAAAACTTACTTTTAACCCTAGTATCCGAGGCTTAAGCCATTGATATACAGTTACTAAAGAGAGACTTTTACTTTCAAGGTCTTCTTTAATAAATCAATTAAAACCACAAAGACCTTTAATACATATAAATGTTTAAAAATACATTTCCATTAAAATAAAGTTAACGAGTTCGTTTGCCCATAAAATCTTTAAGATATTAGGTTAAACTTATTTGGCTTGCTGTCCGCTGGAGAGGGGCTCGATGAAGCAGCTTCAACTCGAGCTCTGATATACCCCCCAGTGGCTAAATGTAGGACCTGTTAATTAAAGGGCAAGGTACCTAAGATGAAGGTGGAGTTTGGGGAGTTGGAGGGATACTGGAACAGCTGATACTAGGGAGAGGTAAGCGGCTGCTTATATACTCTGTTTGTTGATTGAAAGATTGGATGGGCTCGCTCCTCCCTAACTTACGTTTAGGAACTTCATTTAACGAGTTTGTTTGCCCATAAAATCTTTAAGATATTAGGTTAAACTTATTTGGCTTGCTGTCCGCTGGAGAGGGGCTCGATGAAGCAGCTTCAACTCGAGCTCTGATATACCCCCCAAAAGTGTTGAATAAATATTTGGGACAGCAAGTTAGAATAACGTGATCAAATACAGGATGCCTATAAGCTTAAAGTATGTTACCCCCCAAAAGAGTGGAAATTGAAAGCTGTATGGAGCATGGATGGACACTGCTGCGGCAGTGATATGTTTAAAGGGGCTCCTGGCTGGAACTGCGTCTCCCTACTATGCCCACCATGTGGGGCTATGAGTGGAGCTCCGGCGGGAGCTGTGTTTTAAAGAGTGTGCCTGCGTTCGTTGTGGAGTGAAACGACATGGGCTTGTGGAAATTTGACTGGGGTACATCTCACCGCTGCACTGCTGCGGCAGTGACTTTCAGAAATGACTCCTGCGGGAGTATCTTGGGACTGGAGGTTTGAGTACGAGGTTGGAGAACGCCCTGCCACATCCATGACATGGAGCCCCATGGAGTTAGAGCACATGGGGCTTCCAGATGTCACAAATGGGGAAGAAGGTCCTCGTCCCTAAAGGCGAACGGGCCACCGGTGTCTGAAGGGAAACTCCCTACGCAGCAAGAGGGAGCCTACGGTATACATAGGAAATGCAGAACTACCATCCTTCTGATGCAGGGGGCGAAGATCACATAAAGACATAATGGCCCGTCGCATTCGAGGGACGTACGATCCTTGGTACCTCCAGTCCTGATTTTTTCGGATAGGAGGGCCCACACTGCGATCCGAACGGGAGAGCCTCCATGGTTAAAAACATGAAGGATCACACAGCGATTCGGAAAGGGAGAGCCCCCACGGCGCCCGAACGGAAAGCTCATACTGCGATTCGACCGGGAGAGCTCCCGCTGCGTTTCGAAGGAGAGAGCCCCCCCATATGTATAAATAGGGAGCTCACTCGGCAATCAAAACGGGAGAGCCCACACAGCAAGTCGAACGGGAGAGCCTATGATGCATCTGAACGGGGGAGCCCACACGGCGATTCGGATGGGAGACCCCACTCCAGGAGTGGTAGGTCACGCACATCCGAAAAGGGAGAGCTCTCACTGCATCCAGATGGGAACACGCCCTGCGGGGCTAGGTAAGCGGGGAGATGCGAATAGTAGGGAGAGGCGGTCCAGACTCAGAAGGATGCTAGTGCTTGTTGTGCTTGTCTAATGTTATGTAGATCTGAACGAACGTATGTTTCGAAGGCGTGGGATGACCATCGGCCTAGCATTTTGATTTGGTGATCGGAAAGGCCCCTTTGTGCTGCTGTGGTGGCTGCACCTATTCGGAAGGAATGTGAAGAAAACTGTTTGGTTGGGATGCCGGAGCTGTTGAGGATGGATTTGAGGTTCCTTTGAAACCAATGTCTGGAGGCCGGGAGGTTATCATCATCGATGAAGAGAGGATCGAGAGAAGAGGTGATTTGGGATTTCCTCTGGTGGAGAAAAAAGTTTAAGGACTGGTATGGTTGGATAGGGGTTGGCAAATTGAAGATGAAAATCGAATGACCATG